TTTTTTTTTTGTTTAATTAATCAATTATTGCTACTCTTTTCGCAGCAATTTTCTGTACAAAAATATATATGATAACATTTTTGGATTAAAAAAATCGGGCAAACTTTTTAGATTCCTAATATTTTTTTGGAATTTATCCTTTTATCATCGCAAAAAATGTGAGTGATGAATTATCGTTATACTGAATACATCAAATCTTTATCTCAATTCTTAATTTTTTCAAAGACACAATTAATTATTTTTGTCATTTCTTTTTTATTTGCATAAAAATCATAGATTGGTGGGAAAAAGCGCTGAAAAAATAACACGGTTTTTGATAAGTAAAATTTCCGATAACTTATAAATAAGTGAAACAGAAGACAAAAAATGTACTGGTACTTAGCCCGGGAGTAATAATACTCCAATCAGATAATTTAAACCACTGGTATAATACAAGCATTGTCATCATTTGCAAACTAACACTTGTTTTTCTGTAATTCTGTAGTTCATTCCATTCATTTGCTATGAGATGAGTTCGCCTCAAATAATTAAGCAATTCAATAATTTTCATATTTTGTGATGGCAGATAATTTTTTGCAATTCTTTGAATGATGCATAAAATAATATCGAAGCAATGAAAATAATTCCTTATCTGCTGATAACTATAAGTAACACACAGTGACAAGTTATAAATTGAATTGAAAGCAGTTTACTGATTGCTTCATTGAGTCTATTTTTGAAAAATAAAAAATCGTTGCAGTGATTAATCAAATAAATGCTAGATGAAAGCAACAAAATGCCGCTGCTGCTGCTTTCTTTGATAGTGCTGAAAAGAAAATCTTTATCGATCATACCAGACAGTTGGAGCAGAAGCAGTTATATGCTGATCAATCTTGACCGACTCAGGTAATCGGGTATTGGATTCAACTAAAATTTTAGGTCTTTCCCAGTCAATGAAAAATGTTTTAGCAAGTATTAGTTGTGCATTATGATGGAGTAAAGCGATTAATTTAAGTACTGTTGCTGCTAGTAGATAGCCAATTAGTATATCTTCCTGAAAATAAATATCTATAGACGATTTTGTTAACAATTATCATGCTGATAATCATAAATGAATACATTTGTCGCGATTTGAGGGAGTGTATTCACGAAAAGCATTAATTACATTTCAATTTTTTCGAAGTTAATTAATTAGAAGTTAGAAAGAAAATTATCAACTTTTGCATTAATAAATTAATATTATGGTGTTTTAATTCCGATAAGAATAAACTTAATGTTTATTTATTTAAGTAGTAATCAGTAATTATTCTTTTGAAATTTTTCATACAGCAACCATTTTTTTAAGTTCGTTTCATTTATTTCAAAAGTTGTAGGGGCTTTATTAAAATTATTTTTCAGTAATTATTCTTTTCGTGATATATTTAATTTGAATCTTTCCCTTAAAATTTTTTAATAGTATAATTTGTGAAACACTTTTACCTGATCTTTATCGCTAAAGATTATATAGTTAGGTACTCGCTGAATTTTGTATGAGTATGTGAAAAATATAACGGATATGAGGACAGTAAAGAGAAAAATATCACTTAATATTTCACACTCGAATAGAATAAATTTGATAATGATAGAGCCATCAATGGTAATTTTGCCGGAACGTCGCTGCCAACTACAAAATTACATTAAATGTTTGTTATGGTAAATACAATAAAGATTGTAAAATCTTGAAACTGCCATATTTTGAAAGAGAAATGTGGGAGTAAGAATAAGATTCCTCAAATCCCTTGTTAAAATAAAGAGTAAGTACTCTGACAAATAAATACATAGTATAAATAATATATAATGTAGAGCAGAAAAATATGTAAGAAGAAATGAAACAACAGAATTACTTCTACAAGAAAATAGTCATGAAAGTAATAAAAATTGAAACTAACAGAATCTAACCTGTAAGTACGCATGACTGCATGAATAACAGACAAAATAATTAAAGTACTCAGTAAAATTTTAATATTCTGCCAGTAGTTTGACCCATCCATTATATAAGTGATATCAAAATGCAAGAGAGCTTTATCTTCCACTTCCCATCCTCTTTCAGCATATCTTATTCGTACGTAAGGTATTATACGAGTATTTGAAGAAGCCTAAAATAATTAATTCATGATATAAAATTTAAAAAGTGGAAATTTATCGCTGATGGCATTATTATTAGTGGCAAAACATTTGTGCATATTTTGATAGATTTTATTTTATTGCTAAAGATATTATGATTACAATAGATGATCTATACTTGCTTGTATTTTGATTCTGATGCTAATCTTTTCTAGAAAACGAATAACAGCAAGTTTCTGATTTGAACTTGAAGTGTCTAGTGAGATAGCATCGAGAAAATATAGTCGTCGAGTAAAAATCCATTTCGGATTGTAAAACTTCTCGGGTGTTAAACGATTTACAAATTCGCCATTTTCGCGAATATTCTCATTCAAAATTGGCATGGCATACATTTGATTTCGATTAAATTCATCCATAAATACAAGATACAAATCGCTAAAAACTGGTTCAGCTGGAAAAAGATGGAGTAGATGCTGTAGCTGAATGAAACATTGCAGTTGATAGTAAGCTCCGAAATGGAATCTTTCCTTTTGTTGTGAGCAAATGTCTAAGATGCTTTCTGCCAATGGTACCATGTCTATGAAAGTACCATTAAGAGCAAACTGAACTAGCATAACTTCGAGAAATGCATTCGATTTTTGTGAGTCAAAATTGAAAGCAGAAGAAATCGCACTGTCATGCAATAATTTAAATGCCATTTTTTTGGTATAAAATAATTCTGGCATTACAAACGACTCGTTACTTCTGAAATTCATTTTTGTTTCTAGTCGGAAGTACATTTTTAAGGTCAGTTTTCACTTTGTCATCTATTTTAAAAATTTTGTACGATAAATTTTACTTTTCTCAATAATAAAAACAAGTTATGCTAATTGATATAATAGAAATATAATTTTTGTTGATAGAAAGATTCATTGATATTTTGAAAATTTTTTTTCCACAAAGATTCTTAATTGATTTTGATGATTATGAAAGGATTTCGAAAGTTTTGAATTGCCAATATCAAAAATGCTTTCTATGTATGACTGATTAATTATACTTTTGATAAAAGGTGTCTTGATGAAAAATTTGCTTTTTAATAATTTTTAAAAATTCTTATTAATCAAATTTTATAATTTTTGTTGCTGCTCGATATATTTTATTTTGTTATTCAAAAAAAAAAAAAAAA